TATGTAAAATTGGTTGATAAATGTAAATGACGATTCTGGTTTGTACTTTGGGGGAGTGAATCCCCGTGGCGTATGTATGCCTCATATATGCATGTATGTCAGAGAAAAGACAAACCATTTCCATGACATTTGGAAATGTCCTCTACGTAACCGTTAATCGTCCGGGTAAACACATATTCGGACTAACGAGTCATGGGTACTGAAGGTGGTTCTCAGTACATGGATATGTCTCTAGAATTGCAATTTAATAAAGCGGTTAATTTTAATTTTACTATTGTATCTCTTCCCTATAATGCTATATTGTATTTCAAACTTTTAAAAAGAGATATATAAACAGCAATGCTAAGATATGTGCTGTTATTTTTTTCCACAACATGTCTCGTCCTATGTCCGGTTTGAGGTGAGCTGAAATAGGGTTTAACGTCGCGTTCAAGATTATTGCACTTACATAGCGACGTGCATGTACGTGTGTGTGTGTGTGTGTGTGTGTGTGTGTCAACTTGTGCTAGTCCGGACTAATGCCGATTATATAGATTATATAGCGAGCCCACTGAGATACCATGTCGCAGTTTCCCATGAATACCCCACAGTATACTGACTCCGAGTCGACCAGTGCTTGTTTTAGCCCATTAATGCCGAGCGCCAGACAGACCTTCCGCTCTCCGGCCAGACGCTCTACCACTAGGCCACGGAGGCGGTCCCTGTTTATAAAGCTTCTGAGTAGGAAACTGAGCTAAGTCAGGGATGAAAACCTACATGTAAGTCGGTTTAGTTGGAGCCACTTTCTGTACTGAGTGAAGCCAGCTCACTGACCCAATTTTCAGATTTAAGAAATTGCCAAAGCTTAACCATTAGAATATAAAAAGTTTCCATGACGTTGGGCCTTTTAAGACTTAAGTCCTGTGTAAACCGCCCCAGCATCACAAACACCACCTACAGTCATAACACATAATACGCAGGGATGGATGGGTGGGGTTGGTGGTGGATCGATATTTTCAAATGTGGATTTTAGAAATTCTTAAAACCGATGAATTTTTTGATTTTTGATGTAATATGACGTAACGATGCTACATGGTTGAGAACATGCAAAATAACGTTATGTTTCACGAAGTCTAAAATGGACAAAGCTACGTGTTTAGAACAAAAGGTGAATGCAAAAGTTAATACATTTTGCTCTGTCGTTATGTATATATGGTATTTCTTACATCAGTGTTTTTATCTCACTAATGATATAAAAGTGTCACAAAAATTCTATAATCATGATAGGCGTTCTCATGGATTTTACAGATTGCGTAATAAAGGATATTATAACTCATAATTCATGTTACAAATAGTCGCTCAACTACTGTTGATGGTAGTTCACGGAGTGTACAACTATTACGTGGCCAATTGATTTGAACCTAGCGTCAAATAATTGGATAATGACACTCAATGCCTCGGATATCCTTGCTTGAAAATAATAGAGTTTTTTCACAGTATACTATTCTGTTCCCCAAACGTCCAGTTTTGAAAGAGTGAACCGAATAACATTAAACGGGTGACCCAGAGCTCCGGGGCACTGCAGCATGCTGTGCGGAGTCCAAGGGCTACCAGGAATCAAAAGTTCATGGGTTTTCTACCTGCGAAGTTTGCTTTAAAATTAGGTCGATATTTGCTGATGAGATTCTTCCAGTGAAAGTATATTTGAAATGTAAAGTGAATATCATTTTCCGACATTACTTTGTAATTGTATGTAGATATTGTGTGGCATAGTGTGTATCATCACCATCACCATCGTCGTCGTCGCCACAATCTGTTTCTTGATTTTCTGCCATTATGACATCACGGTATTGTTGCTGCAGTTGATTCTGAGCGAGGAATTCCCTGGCCATTCTGAACGTGTATAACAAGTATAACTGGCGTAACCTTTTGTTACTATTCAACATTATAGAGAAATTATACATCAACCATAGACTGAGTCGGAGAAATCACTGGAATCTGATGATTCCGTTTGTAAGTTCCACAAGCTCGTTGATTCTACTTCCGGTATCAAGAGATTGGAGTGATTCCTCCGTTACTTTCATGTTACTGACATCCCCGACCAGACGTCAGGGTCTGCTGTTTCTGCGGAAAGGTCACCATAAAACTGTCGGGTAAAAGATAGTATACACCCACGATGGTTGAACATGAAACAATTTGATGTATTTGATACGGGTATCCACTTTTGGACCGTGTTTCGGCGATTGTTTTAACAACGTTTGTAAGTGTTGGGCCAAATCCAACTTTCAAGTGCATACTTTCCTCTGTCCCGCAGTTTAGTTGTTTGTCCACTGTCTACTTAGGACAAAGGGAGTAATATAAGTCCTTGGCGAGCAGAATTTTTAAAGAAAATACTTTTCTGATAAGAACATATTTCGTTGTGACAAGGGTTTATCAAAACATTGTGGACTTATTAAACTATATAGAAGTGTAAAATATCCAACTTAGACAACATTGCAGCCTTGTTTATTCAGCGGTATTTCACTGCTGATATCTAAACACTAGGGTCTGTAATAACATTTAAATATTATCTCGATGCAATACTTTTTATGTTAAATATTATCGCATTCAGTCGACGTGGAACATATGTTTTCTACTGATATAAGCAATCTCGCGTTCTATTTCTTGTTTTATAAAGAAACAAAGAAATAATATAGAAAAATATTATCACATAAATATTCCTAAAAAGAAAATATACTCTTCTAAAGAGAAACGCAATACGGATATTTCTAGCCATAAACGCAAAATTAGCGGACTAAGAGGTGCAAAATGAAGAGGTTTAATGTGTTATAGTGTCAGTAACAAATTTCCCGGATCAAAATGATCACAAGGACATGCAAACCATTAGTCGGGAAACACGTACGAATCGGAAAAACGCACCCAGTGCATTAACAAAAAGGCCATGGAGCTAGAAGCACTGCAATTGCTGCAGCACTATGAACGGTATTAAAGTGCAGGGTTTATGATTGCCTTGCATCTGCGTCAATCGAACAGTGACAGTTCAACAACATGCCAAGAAACAACGTCATAGGCCGCTTGCAGGCAGGGGAATCCCGATCAGCTGTAGCCAGGATTTCTCAATGTAGCGCCCAGCACCATCACAAAGCTATGGGATCGTTTTCAACAGCATGGGTCCATTCGTCACCACTCGCCCCTTTCCGTAACCTGCAAGATGACTCGTCCCCCTATTGATGAATGTTATGTGCGAAAATACGACAAACCAATCAGAATGCGCGTATGATCTCAAGTTCTTCGTCAAAGAATGCCTCAGAAATAATTTTTGATTTTACATATGTCTTGCATCTACAAATATACCCAAGACACAGTTAAATGTGTTCAATCATACTGTATAATTCCGCACGTCTCAATGGGCTCCTAATTGCATCTGAAATATATATAAAACATGGGGAAATAATATGTGAACCATTACGCAACGAGTTGACAATTGTTTTAGGTATGCCCGTTTGCGCTAAGACGGAACCCGGTCGCAAATATGGCCATGAGAGGGGCACGAGTCGCTATTCGGCTTGTCCTGGAATAACACGAGTTGGTCACGAATGAGCATGGGTCAACACGTAATCGGCCAAGGTCGCGACGACCAAGAGTAACCACAACCCCGAACGGCTACCATTCCCCAGGATGTGATTCGCATACTCGTCTCTTCCATCGGCAGGCATTGTCAGGCCGCTATCAATTCCAACGGGGTACATACGCGTTATTGATGGTAGCTGACCTTCAGCTTGGACTTTTCCTATATACCGATAACTGAGATGACTACAATCAACAAGTGTTCTCTCCACAACATTTTGCCTCAATAGCTTGTACGTTTCCTCGTATACGTGTATTTTCCTACCTCACACAAATCTGGCGTTGCGTTTCTTTTTTTGAAGAGTATACATAAAATCCCGTCCCGTCCACTTCCTATGTTCATACTACCTCCGAGATCATCCAGATGTGTAGGGAATGTATGTGTAATGACATGGGTCTAGTTAAATATGTTCCAGTCTTTCTCACTGATCTCCGTTATTCCAGATGTGTTTACCCCCTGCAGTACTTGTTTATCGATTTACTCAATGTATTTCTATGATGAAAATGCCTTGTAGTTTTTCTCGGTACACTGCTTATTATTTACAGAGCTAGTCCCTTATTGTGACGGCCGACTGTACATTGGAATTTGTATGAAACATAGATGGTATAGGTGGTTAGATATATTCCCTTTAGAGATTCCGGGTTAGAACTGGTCTTCAGCAACCCATGTCTGTCGTAAGAGGCGACTAACGGGATCGGGTGGTCAGGCTCTCTGACTTGGTTGATAGATATCCCAATTGCGTAGATCGATGCTTATGATGTCAATCACTGGATTGTGATTGTCTGGTGCAGAAACGATTATTTGCAGACCGACGTCATATCGGTGGATTATTGCTGAGTGCGGCGATAAACACCAAACAAACAAAAGTTATAGATACATGTAATCATATAGCCTGCGTAGAGTGCTGCATGCATTACTTAGAGAGTATGTGCACATGCAGTAAATACGTCGATAAGTAAGTGGGTGATATATATATATATATGAATGTAGCTAAATAGATTGGTAACCAGGTGGTAGAGAGGTCGTTAGATCGGAGGCCAGTAGATCGATAGTTGAGTAGAAAAAACATACACGGATATGCGTGGATACATAGCTGGACCCGAGCTAGAAAAGTAGCTAAAGAAACATATGTGCGTGAGTGAGTTGGATTTAATGTCGCTTTGAACAGTGTTCGAGTTATATCACGGTGTGTCAGCATGATGTTGGAGGAAAGTCGGAGGTGAAACAGGTCTTTTGATGTTTACCACTTTGGTGAAACCAGGAACACGGGAATGATACCGACAAACCTATTGATGTCTGTAAATAGGTAGGGGTAGGTCGGTACCTACGTAGGGAGGGAGGCAGACGGCAATTTTCTTCTATTCGTTCATCTGTACTCTACAAAGATACAATTGTTGATTCTAAATCATTGAAATGGTTATCATGTACACAGACAATTTTAAATTGTCTCGTGTCCCCGCTCACCAAGTCGAGAGATGGAATAAATGTACTCTTTGTAATCTATCCGATATTTGAGATGAATATCAATACAGTTTTGTTTGTGTCTATATTATAACTCTGAACGTAAGATACATCATCCTGAATGTTATTCAGTTCGACCAAATCATGAAAACAACTATCTAAGCAAATTCTGTAATATTATCCTGAAACGTGTTAAATTAAATGTGTTCAAAGCTATTGGAAAAGCGACGGTTTGTTCCCGTGAAATAACAACTAACAATAACTTCTATGAATACAAAAAAACATTTATTTATCACAACAAAGTTAATATTTCATAAAACACAATATTTTCTATTCAGAAGTGCCGAGTACCGCGTCTCCGGTGTATGAGATTTTGTTCAATATTTGTTTCTACCACATCCAATATTGATTATCCTCTTCACTATTGCACACCTGGCCAGGTAGCAGCAATCTACCAATTACAAATAATGCCATACAGGTAAACTAGAAATCACTCCATCTCATTAGTACACTTGAATAAATATTTGAACTTATTGTGCTAATACGACTGCTGACAATAAGCAGAATTTCAGCCAATGTCTCGTTATCTGCCATTGATTGATGGCGAGTGCTACTGATGCCATGTCTGTCATTGGCTTCCAGTACTGATGTCACCATAGGATATGAACAATGCTGAATTAATAACCCCTTCTTATCAATGTGGCTAGGTACGTACCTCTTATGCAATGTGCTCAATGTACTTCATTTGTGTATGTTTCGATGCGGGATCAACACGTATATATGGCGTAGCTTTCATGGACATAGTTTGGTTGTGATAACGTCGTTCCTGGTGTGTCTCGGCACAAAGCTCATTGGTAAATCCTTCAGCTGTTTGAAAACATAGAAAAGCGTGTTGAACCTACAAGTGTCTGTAAGAGGAAGCTTCAAAGTCGAGTATAAAGGTAGGTCTCGATGTGTTTGTAATATAAATCAAAATTACGTTTAACCTTTCAGTTTGAATCAGTGTAATGTTATTCCTCGTCAGTAAACTAATACTTGGGCGGAGGGAAAGACTATCACTAGAGTGGTACCAGAGTTACATGTACTGTGAGAAAGCCATAGGCACATGAGCCAACTAAAAAACACAAAATCTGAGCCGGATCATTTTTAATGAAAAGGAAAATTTTAAGATATAAGATAAAACGAAATATTAAGTAGAATCTGATTCATATATTGTTTTCATTGACATTTAGCATGCGCATAGGTAGTGGCGACTCAACCACCCAGTGCCTTAACTTGCAGTCTAACCTGGAGATGTAGCGACCTACCAACAACTTCTGGACCTGTTCACTATTTATTTCGCCTGTGTAATCAGTTTACGTTCGACCGCCGTAAGAGTTAAACCTGAACTTAGAATATTCATAAGCATCTAATACCTCTAAAAGACAATCATTAACCATACATTCTGCGATTTCCTGCAGCCTATCTGCATATCCTTGATAGTCCGTTGTACTTGATGCTCCTAGAAACTTTCATCAGTGTAATCAGGTCTTCTCAAGACGTTGCAGAGCATAGTTATCTCTGCCATTAACGCAGTTTAAGCTCACATCAGGAATCTGAGAACGAGGATTCTATCGATTTGGAGAACAACATTTGCGTATGAATTACTTTCTTCGTGGATGTATCGTTGTAGGATTTAATTTAATTTCAGAAAAAATATTGAATAATGTTTTGTTAACAAAGTGTTTATGATAAGTACATGTTTATCATGAAATTTGTTACGCTCTGTGATATAGTGGCATGATGCGTTAGAATTACTCAGATAATCGAAAAGTTGCGTTGTTCGGCGTTTTTTGGCTCACACTAACAACAATCTATCAAATTATAGCCACAGTGTATCCCAGAACACACTTTCACCTTTACAGAGTAGGATCTTCTGTCACATCCAGCTTTCTAAACGAATACAACCAGCACTACTGAGGATATATTGACGTGGTTTGTTTCTTCATAACGTTGTGTTTTCTATGTCATAATGGTTCGCATGCCTCGCTTAGGTTCGTCAGCACCATAGCCGTGATTGTCGGAATCACCAAAGTGATGTCAGATCTGTGTGTCTGATCTGTGTGTATGTCTTTGTGTCTGATCTGTGTACCAGCTCTGTGTGTCTGATTTATGTGCCAGCTCTATGTGTCTGATTGGTGTGTATGTCTGTACATCTGATCTGTTTGTATGTCTGTGCATCTGATGTGGGTGCCTGATGTATGTGCCAGATCTGTGCGTTTGGTGTATGTGCCAGATCTATGCGTCTGATGTATTTGCCAGATCTGTATGTCTGATCTGTGTGTATGTCTGTGTATGTGATCTGTGTGCCAGATCTGTGTGTATGTCTGTGAATTATGTATGTACCAGATCTGTGATTCTGATATGTGTGTATGTTTGTGTGTCTGATGTAGGTGCCAGATATGTGTGTCTGATATGTGTGTATGTCTATGTGTCTGATGTATGTGCCAGATCTGGGTGTCTGATATGTGTATGTCTGTGTGTCTGATGTATGTGCTGAATGTTTCTGATCTGTGTGTATGTCTGTGTGTCTGATATGTGTACCAGATCAGTGTGTCTGAGGTATGTACCAGATCGGTGTGTCTGATCTGTGTATCTGATATTGTACCAGATTGCTGTATTTCAGCATGCCAAGAGGGAGAAGGCGGAAATAAGTGTTGCACTTGTGCCCAATCCTTTTGTCTTTTTTGGACAATAAAATATATGTGATAATAAAAAAGAGTGAGTGAGTTTGGTTTAACGCCGCTTCGAACAGTTTTTCAGTTACATGACGGCAGGTCTGCGATAGGATATTATCCAGCAACGTTGATGATGCTGTGACCACGCTGTGTGTAAACCCGTTATGCATGTGTCTCACTTTGGAGATATTGTATCCCCAAAAATACAGTGGTATCTGTCTAAACTGGACTTGAAGGGGGCCAAATTTTAGCCCGTTACAGACATTGTGAGACATCAGAGATTGTAATATTCTACATAGAGTTACGTCCCTTGATATCTCTCACTGCTACGACTACTCACGATAATATAACGTGTAGAAGTTATTTATTTAAAGGATTGTAACATCATGCCACCTGTTACACTGACGTTTACAAGAAACATCTTCATAGACCTGAAGTAAAACTCGTAATTCAAATTAATTAGTTAATGTGTTATGAAAATATTATATGATAGATGTTGAGTGATTGGTAAATTTGATAACTATCAGTAATACACTTTCCTGTGGTTTGATTGTTTGTTTGTTGATTAAGGTCGCACTCAGCAATATTCCAGCTATGTGACGGCGGTCTGCAAATAGTCTGGACAAAACAATCCAGTGATTGATACCATGAAAATCGATCCAGGCAATTGGGATACAATGACATACATCAACCAAGTCAGCGAGCCTGACCACCCGATCCCGTTAGTCGCCACTTACGACAAGCATAGTCGCCTTTTACGGCAAGCATAGGTTCCTGAAGACCTATTCTACCCTGTTTCTTCACTGGTCGTCCCTGTGGTACAGCAAAGACTATTATGCAGGATCATCAGAATTAAGATGATTCTTGAAAGGAAATTCTATTCTCAATTCATTTTTGAAAAAAAATAATTCACTCTTAACAGTCATATGTTTACATTCAATCCTACTTTCTACCGACAGCTACAATAGTCATTCGCGATCTCTCTCGGCATGACAACAAGTGGTTAATTTGGCAATTTCGCCCACCAGTCCCTACACGTAAAATATACGTAGAATAACACGTACTGATCAATTTAGTTTTGAAATTGTAATTGTAACAGTCTGTTAGTGTAACGCGTTGTGTATATTGCGATAAAGCGGTATGAAATAATGTCAAAAGTTCAAAGCCATGTCGCCAATGTGATGCGAAATATCAAAGTAGGAAACAAGCTAGTTCAACGTGTTTTCGCGCCGAGATAATGATCAGTAGCGTCGGTTCAGAATGTCAGAATGTCACTCAGACTCCGTGCAGGGCTCATTACAACTGTCACTGTACCGCGTCAGGACAAGTCGCTGCATGGAGCTTGATAAGCACCGCCAAGCAATGCCACGTGTGGGACATATACAATCTAACTCACCCAAGAACAATACCCACATTCAAATACACCATGCCTTGAACATTGTTCAAATCACCCTAAAGTAAGTTTATAATAACTGCTAGCAATAACGTCTAATCGTGACTCAAATTCTATTCCCATCGTATATTTGGTATTTGTGAACTGTTCAACTGTACATAACGATCAAGTTGTTGTCAATCTCCACATTAAGTGGCTGTTGATATAATGTCTCGGCCGGTGTACATGCACACAATTCGATGCATTCAGATAAAGTCAAGTCATAAAGCCGTGACGGTGCACATTTGTCTGGTATTGCGTCAGTCAATACAAATACCAATGAAATCGGCAAGGAGTCAAAGCATGGCCCTTGCATATAGACGCCGTATAAACGTAATAAAATTAATATTAAACAGGGCGAGGTATAAACGTTAGCTGTGACCCAAACCAAGTCCTTTACGAGCGCTTGAAGAAAATAACATGTAAAAACTAACAAGCTTAATCATTCGATTAAATACTTGTTCCAAGTTAGAAAATGATCCATGAGTTAAAGTGGGACAGAAAGTACTTGATTCAAACATGATAGTATTTAAATCTTGTACCTGTTTAATAAGTCCTTTCAAATATAAAAAAAAAAAACATATCAAAAACAGAAATAAGATTTAAGTCACTGAGGTTACATCTTTGACATTCAGCGTTTTTATATAGAACAATTCAACAAGAAATGATGTGTTCCACTCTCGTATGTTTTTAATTCATATTTAATATATTTAATTTACTGTCACGTTAGTGAATAAATAACGAACAGAGATTTGAATAGGTTCGATTTCCCAGCTAAGGTTAACATTCGCAATAAACTTACTTTACCATTTTTATTACTGCCGCTTTCCATTGATACAACCGCGTGTATGACGTCACGGCTTTTTACGATCCTCTGTGGTGATTATTGTATTGTATGTTGTGGTAATAAATATTACTCAGTTTGTACACGTCAACAGATGGGCTAGGTGTTCTGGCTGTGTCCCAAGCTGACAAGTCATTAAACAGTGTCAATATATACATGTACATGAACGAAGTGCTACCGAGAGAAGGTATATCGACAAACCGACCTATGAGGTAATAAGTGTACTAAAAATTCACATGGATGTCTGGATGTTGAAATGGCGTTTAACAATGACACCAGAATCGAACTGTAACCGCATCTACCAATGGAAAAAAGATAAACGTCCTTCCTGTTTGATGTTAATCTGGAATTAACTGTTATACAAATTCTATCTTTAAAGCAATTTGGCACTTTCGATGTCTGTGGCTAACATGATAAACGCGTTCGACATGAGGATAGGCCTCTGGAAGATAGGGAGACGGACGGCGAATGTCGAGGTATCTAGAGCGGAGTAATTGAGCAGCAAGCATTGATTAGGTATCAGTCAAGTGGGGGGTCACAAGCAATCACTGAGTGACGGAGGGCGCTCAAACGCGCCCCCAGGAGGGCCAATATCTATTCAACAGTAATCACTTGAAACTAACTCTTCTGGGTTTGGTTTTCTCAGTAATTGACCACTGAGTATACTGTGTATTGTTTCGTGTAAGTGACTGACGTGATTTGAGACGTCTTACAAGCCCTATATTTGTTGGAAGTACACTTGGCATCGTGGGATGTTTTACTAGATGAACATTCACTACGTGTAAAGATCTTATACTTGCCTTGGTGTTCACCGCCGGTAGTATGAAGGTTCTATACGGGTGTTCACCGACCCTTGTATGAAGATTCTATACTAGTGTTCACAACCCCTAGTGTGAAGGTTCTATACTGGTGTTCAACACCCCTAGTGTGAAGGTTCTATACTGGTGT